CCCCTCTGGCCCAGACAAGACAGACACGGGTGGTGGCCTGTGATAACCTCCGGACTCTAAGAGTCCTGTGTTCATGTCTAGCTTAGGGCTGCTGGGTCCCTTTCGTTCCTAGATCTGCCTTTAGAATAGACCCACGGCAGCCCTTTGTGGTATGCCTCCTCTGTGGCCCACATGCAGTGCAGGAGTACGCACGCATTCATTTACCCTGCTGCACAGGAAAGAGCTAGTGTGGTTCTCTGCTTTATAACTGTCCCTCCTTACACTCTCTTGAGATCATAAGGTAAAACTGTTCTCCAACACTCACTTTGCACTTAGAAAACTTTCCTTTTTATCATGTATTTGGTACAGGGTCTCTCTACGCAGCTTGGACTCATGGTGATCCTCCTGTGTTCAGCCTCCCCAGCACTGGGGTTATAGGCCTGCACCACCACTTCTGGTTTCCGGGGCTCAGCAAGGCTGGGGGCAGGACTGTGGCATGTGCTGCCGTAGACTGAACCTGGTCCCTGTGCTTGCCTAAGCAGGTGCTTTGTCCTCTGAGCCATCTCGCCAACCCGAGAAACCTTTTCTGAGAAACCATCTCTAATTGCAATTGACATTGTGCCTATACACCTCCCACACCTTCGTACAAGGAGCTATGTCGCCCCATCTCTGTCTTCTACGTACAGCTGAGCACACAGCCTGGTAGGTACCCAGGAAATGTTTGGTGAATGGAGGGATCTTATGCAGCGGATTCTCAAGATGCTTTAAAATAACCTATATGGCAGGCTGGCCAAATACTTCAGTGGATTAAAGCTCCTGCTTAGGCAGACGCAGTGACCAGGGTTCAATCCCCAGCATGTCTGCTGGCCCTGCCCCCAGGGCACACCGAGACAGCGATTGAGTGGTGGCGTCCTGTAATCCCAGGGCGTGGGAGGCTGAAAACAGAAGGAGCACTACAAGTCTGATCTATGTAGTGAGACCCTGCAGACTCCATAAATATAAATAAGTAACTTGTATGGGCAGCTCATTTACCACTCCTGGGCAGATGCCAATCAATCATTGTTACATGGGTTAAATGCTGATAACTTCCCGGAATTTGCATACTTCAGCATTTGCTAACCAAGAAATGTGAGAGATGAAACAGTAAGTAGAGAAATTCATTCTTTTCAAGGAAGAAATGGATAAATTCACATTAACTCAGGTTTTGAGAAAAGTTGTGAGATACCAAATTACGTCTTCACAGAAAAACAAAAATCATCTAAAACTGCCAGAAGTGTTCATACTGTTTGAGTAGTGGGTTAGAAAAGCCAGAAATGACCAAATCACAAAGAAAAAAATTAGATTTTATTTATTTTTATTTTTTTGCAGAACTGGGGATTGAACTCAGCCCCTTGTGCTTGCCAGAGAAGCGCTTATTCCACTAAGCCATCTCCCCGGCTCCAAAAATTAGATTTTAAATATTTGGCAAAAACATGTTAAATACAGGTAGCAGATATGAGGACATTGTTACACTATTCTTCCTCATTTTGCTGTATGTTTAAACATTTGTGTGGCCAGGGAGATGGCTCAATAGAATAAGTGCTTCCCTGGCAAGCCAAGGGCCTGAGTTCAATCCCTGGTTCCGGAAAAAAAAAAAAAAAAAAAAAATTGTGTGATAAAAATAAGATTAAAAATTGAATCCCAGAAGCAACCTAGTCTTTCCCCTGATTTAAAAAGTAGAGATGATTCTGATTTGATTTGAAACTGTCTCATTGCTGTTCATCAATAAAATTTTGAAAAAAAAAATAAAAATAAAAATAAAAAGTACCTAAAAAAGAAATGTAGAGATGAGGCCAGAGAGATGGCTCATTGGTCTAAATTCCTGCCTGGCAAGGACAAGGACCTGGGTGTGATTCCCCATACAGCATGCGGTGCCGGCCCCTCTCTAGGCACACTCAAGCCAGCCACTGAGACTGGGCTGATGGGGCACGCCTGAAATCCCAGCTCTTGGGAGGCTAAAACAGGAGGATCACTAGAGTGTGAACTGCATAGCAAGACTCTGTATCAAATACATTACATTAAAATAAATAAATACAATAACATAAAAAGTAGGCATGGCCTGGCATGGTGTCACCTGCCTGTGATCCTAGCACTTGGGAGGCTGAGGCAGGAATATCAACATGATTTTGAGGCCAGCCTTGGCTACATATGAGTTTAAGAACAGCCTGAACTACACAGCAAAACTATCTCAAAAGCAAAAACAAAAACAAAACCCTATGTAAACTTTACCACCCTTTAATTAAACATTCCTAGTCCCTACTAACTCACCAATATAGGCCAGTAGTATGATAACAGTCATGAAGCTGTTTGTTTGCATTTGGATTACAGACTAAATGCTTTGGAAGCAAGAATTGTTATGATGGAATTAGACTGAATCAGAACATATTGGCAGGCGAGAATTCTACCACTGAACCACCAATGCCTATTAGAATATATTGGAATAGTAGAATACTAACAGATCATTTCAGCCAACGCTCTTACTTTACAGATGAGAAAAATTAGTTAGTACCCAGATACATGAAATGAAAGAGCCAACTGATATCTGAGCTGATACTCTAGCTTCATACTGTTTCTACCACCCTGGTTGGCATGACCCATTAAACAAGCGCTGCCATGCCACGGAACGTGGGCTGGGTGGGCACAACTGTCCAGGTGCAGCGCTTACAGCTGCTGGATGCTTGGCTGTGTCATGTTGGCTGTACCCAGGTGGAGAGCTCCTTTTCTACAGTGGACTCCCAGACACTGAGCAAGTAAGTCTCGGTGGCCCCATGGGGACTTCATTAAGCTAGACTTAATAGGATGAAGGCAGTTGAATGAGTCAACGGGTCGGTTCTGTGAGGCCGGTCCTCCACTCTGAGACAGCGACGGGTGGTACCCAGTGGAGCGTCACTTTACTGAATCTGGAACACAGGTGCTTTGGCAGGCATGGGCTGGAGGCCTCATGGAGTGTAATCGTTATTCCTCTTCCAGCCAACTAGGATCCAAGGGGATCAGGAGAAAATACTCCGTTGGGCTGCCCTGTGAGTCACACAGTTCTAGACACAGAGATGGGCATTTGAGAGGTACTGACTGAAACGAATTTAGAATTTTTTTTTTTTAAGTGTATTTAGTGCAGGGTCTACAGGGTCTCACTACACAGATTGGATTCATAGTGATCCTCCTGTGTTCAGCCTCCCAAGCGCTGGGATCACAGGGACTCGCCATCACCAGTTTCAATCGCTGTCTCAGAGCCCTGGGGGCAGGGCTGGCACAGCCAGGGATGGTACACCCCCCACCCCCTCCACCACCCCACCCCGTTCCGTGTCTGCTTAAGCAGGCACTTCAATCTGCTGAGCTATCTGGCCGGCCTTGAAATGAAGTTAGGCCTGGAGAAGACATGAAGGTGGCTTACTATTTTCTGTGACTTTCCCCACTGTGTCCAGGAAGGACTTAAATTTTCAAAATGTATTCCCTCATTTTGGATCAGCATCAACTCAAGCATATCTAATTCCTGTAGTTAGAAGTTTAATATTCTTCAGGGTGCTACTGTAGATTTCCAGTTTGTATGCAAGAAGCACACAATCAAACTGCTACCATAGATTGAATTTGAAAAAGTACATCATAATGCTTCAGAGGATGGGGTGGGGATTTCTAATCTCTGTTACCTCAGTAGGATTTCTTCAAATGTTCTCAGGCAAATCTATGAATTAAACACACAATAGTTAATATGTAATTGCAGCTTACACTTAACCCTCCAGACCCCTCTCAACCAAAAAGCTGCCTTATATCCTTCAGCCTCAGAGCTGCCAATGACTAAAATAGGCTTTAATCCAGAGTCTGGATTTGCAGGTTGAATGTTACTTGCTTTTAAAAATATTCCCATTTTAAAAATTGCTAACATATGCAATTTGGGAGAATTTGCTTTTCTCTTTTAAAATGTCGTTTTCAGCTTCTTTTGAAAACTTGGACAATCTTACCCTGGTATAGAGGTAGGCGGTGGTTTGCCACATTCCCGCGTGGCAAAATTCTTGGCCCTCGGAGACTCGGAGAAGGCTCGCTCCCGCGACGGGTCCAAGCTGTCCGTCCCGCGGCCCACCGGGGCGCAGGCGCTACCCGCAGCCCCCTTTGGTCGATCTTGGCGTGCGGGGCAGGCGATGGGGAGCGGCGCCCCGCGCAGGCGGCTTCCGGCCTTCCGAGCACCGCCGCGCGCACGCCTCCTAGTGCCTGCGCTCTGTACGGCGAGGTGCCCCGCCTGGCAGGGTCGGCATCTCCGCGTGGAGAGTTACGGAGAACACTGACGTCCCTTTTTAGCCCTCCGCATTTTCAGTTCTGCGCTTCTCGGGCGGCGGGGATGTCCTGGTACCGACCGCGTGTGCGCGACACCCACGCGGGCGCCCTGGGGCCAGCCCCTTCCGCCGCCGCGAGCAATGCCGCCGGCCCTTTTCTTTCCCAAGGCGCGCCCGACGCGTGCTCCCCTAAGCAGCTGGGCCGGTGTGGCCGCGGCGAGCTGGGGACCGCTGCACCCCCTCGGGCTGGGCGAGCGTCCTTCCTACGGCAGGACCAGGCCCGAGAGGCCGAGCCGCCCTCCGCTCCGGCGCCGGGGAGCGAGCGGGCCGCCAGCCCGACCGCGGGGCGTCTGCGCGTGCGCGCGCGGCCCTCCGCGATTGGCCAGCGCGCCAGCGTCCCGCCCCCTCGGGCCTTCCGGCCTGTGAGCGAGCGCGCCCGCGGCGCCAGCTTCCGCTTCCGGTTACGCTTTGACAGCGACTTGCAGACCCCGCTCCGCCCGCGGCCGGTGAGTCGTCCTCCGAGCTAGCGCGGAGGTGTGCAGCCGGGACGGCGAGCCGGCGCCCCGCCCAGGGACGCTTCCTCCCTCGCGCTGGCTCGAGGTCCGCGAGCGCTCGAGGCCGAGACGGCGTTCCGGGGGCCGCGGGAGGGCTTGGGCCGCGCTGGGCTCCCGCGACGCGGGCCGCGCCGATCCGCTTCGCGCCGACCCGCACCGCGCCGACCCCGCTCACTCCGCCCGGAGACCTGCCGGGACGGCTGCGGTGCGCGGGGAGCCGGTGCGGAAAGTGACACCGCGCCACCTTGCCTTGCGTACCCCCGGCCTCCGCCCTGGCTAGAGGACGGCAGGTGCGAGGGGTCGGGCGCCTCTGATCGCCGAGGCGGAGGCCCAGGCCCTCCGAGCAGCCAGCCGTCTCTTCAGCTGGGATTGTAGCTTAAAAAGAAAGAAAGACAGAAAAACCCTTTGATGTTTTCTCTAGATCCCGTAGCGAACGAAAACGGGGCGTGTTGGGCTGGGGGATGTAGCTCAGCGACACAGGTGCCCGCGGAGGAAGCTTTCGCCCAGGCTGCTGTCCAGAGTGAGGGTGGACTGAGATTTCCTCGGCCCTGCCTGACAGCGAGGTGCCCATGTGCCCGGGGCTGCTGCTCACCTGAAGCTTCCGGGCAGGGGCGAGAGCCCTGGTCACACTCCGCAGGAGGTCATGGCCTGGAGGCAGAGCGCGGGGAGAGAGTGCAGGCAGCGTTTAGTGTCTGCAAAATATCAGGGCCCAGAAGCTGTTAGCAGACAGCTACATGCCTTTCTTTTTTTGCCCCATTCCTAGGATCTCCCACTCGCAAGGGCCCCTGCCCCTCCACAAAGACGTCTTTCAGGAATTTGAGAGTGTGTGTGTGTTTATGCACACACCGAAGAGTATGGTTGGCGCTTGCGTACACATAGGTGCTGGGGATTGAACCCACAGCCCTATACATGCGAAGCATATGTTCTACCATTGAACTTTATCCCCAGACAGATATAGATAGATAGATATAGATATAGATATAGATATAGATATAGATATAGATATAGATATAGATAGCTATAGTGGGGGGGGCAGCTTAGCCCACCCAGGGGGCGGGGCTGGTGCAGCATGTGGTGCCGGGGATCGAACCCAGGTCCCTGCACAAGCCTGCTTTAGACTCCTGAGCTTTCTCACTCGCCCCCGTATATATTTTAAGATATTTAGATGCAAATGGCTACTGATTAGCAAAAAGAAGTTTGTAGAGTTTATGTCATAAAGTTTACAGTTACCCTATTACAAAAAGCAACATTTTTATGTTACAGAATTACAAATAATTTTTAGAGGGCTAGGGTGATGGCTCAGTAGAATAAGCACTTGCCTGGCAAGCGCAAGGGCCTGAGTTCAGTCCCCGGTTCCGCTAAAAAAAAAAAAATAATAATAATAATAATAATAATAATTTTTAGATCTTCCTTTAGTAGTCATATGCATGACATGCTTACTACCTACTGAAAGTTTTGAATTTACTAGGATTTACTAGTAATATGCTTTATATTGGTTCAATGACCTATCCTGTGGCAGGTACTATCAAAGAAATCCGTACTACTAAGGAACTTCTATTTTAGTAAGAATATGGGTTCCTAAGCAGCTAAAGCGTTAGTACTGCATATTTTCTCTACAGTTTATTTATTTATGGTTTTTCTGAGACACAGTCTCATTTTGTAGTTCAGGCTGCCCTCAAACTCATAGGGGTCCTCTTGCCTCAGGCTGCCACACTCTGAGGTTGTAGGTGTGGACATCATGCTCTGCTCTTTCTTCAGCGATTTTTCCTTTGTTTGTTTATGTATTTGGCACAGGGTCTCACTATGCAGCTCAGACTTATAGTAAGCCTCCTGATTTCAGCCTCCCCAGAGCTGGGATTACAGGCATATGCCACCACGCCTGGTCTCCGTGGCCGGCTCAGCAAGCCCAGGCGCGGGCCGGCACAGCCTGTGGTGGAGGGAATCGAACCCCCATCCCTGATCTTACCTAGGCAGGTGCTTAGTCCACTGAGCTATCTCACCAACGCTCTCTACAGTGTTTTATATGTGTTTTTTCACAAAAATGAGCCATCTTACTAGATATGCCTTTAAATGTTCCCTAACTAACATCTTGTATAGTCAGAATTTTTATCATAGCTGAATGCAATGTAAGGCAAGTATATTGCATTACACTATCTTATGTCATCCTAGAACTCAACCACATTGTGGTTTAAACATATTTACCCAAATCTATTTCTCAGTTGTCATAAAATGCCAATTTTTAATATTCTAAATTCATTTTTAAGCCAGTCATAGTGTCGTACATCTGTAATCCCAGCACTTGAGAAGTAGAGAAAGGAGGATGGCTGTGAGTTCAAGGCCAGACTAAATTATATAGCAAGACTCTGTCCCAGAAAACAAACCAAAAAAAAACCCTTTCATTTTAAATCTGCTTACTTTCCTAAAACTGAAGGCTTTTTTTTGGTGGCTGGCTCAGCCCACCCTGGGGGCACGGCTGGTGTGGCATGTGGTACCAGAGATTTAACCAAACCTTGCACACTTGGCTAAGCTTGCCTAAGCAGGCGCTTTAGACTGCTGAGCTATCTCGCCAGCCCCTGAAAGCGTATCTTGATGTGAACTTTAGTTTGTTTTTGTTTTTCTTTAAGCAGATGACTCTGTAATAGTTTTCTTTCTTCCTTATTTTAGGATATTACCTCAAATATTACCTGTTTTTCTCTGAAAATGTTTGAACAAAATGATAAAATACCTTATCATTAAGATAGGTATATTTGTTTCATAACTTTTCTCTTTTCACAGGTAACAGTCACTACCATACCTTTTACTCAGCCAACCAGTACTTGTTAATTACCTGTATTTATGTGAACAAAAGAGCAGAGAACTGGGGCTAGGGACATAACTCAGTGGAATAAGTGCTTGCCTGGCAAGCACAAGGTCCTGACTTCGATCTCTGGCACCACCAAAAAATAAATAAATAAAAAGTAAAGATCTTCCCTTCTAGTTGGTTACATTTTTTTTTTTTCTTGTATTTTAGGGAAGGGTCTACAGGGTGTTCAGGGTCTCACTACTAGATCGGACTCATAGTGATTCTCTTATTTACAGCCTCCCAAGTATAGGGATTACAGGCGTGTCCTACCACACCCAGTCTCAATTGCCTGGTAAGTGCACCCCGGGGTCGGAGCCCGCACAGCAGGCCCTGGACTCAAACCACTGGCCCCTTCGCCTGCTTGCAGGTGCTTTAATCCACTGAGCTGTTTGGCCAGCCCTTGGTTACAGTTTAGATGGAGGAATATGTGTGCACATAACTACTGTAAGGCAAATATAATAAATAACATAAAGGTGAGGTTGATAAGAAATAACAACAGAAATTCAGAGGAGAAAAAGTGTTTGAGTGTTATCTTCAGCCTTTGAAAAACTCCTGTTTCTTAACTAGTCTTGGAAACCACACAGAGGTTCATGGATGAATTAGTTCCATACTCTGTGGGGTTTTTTTGTTTTGTTTAATAGATTTCACATTGTAAATTTTTTTTTGCGGAACTGGGGATTGAACTCAGGCCATTGTGCTTGCCAGGGAAGCGCTTATTCCACTAAGCTATCTCCCCGGCCCATAAATCTTAAAGCAAACATTAAGATTAAACAATGTTCAGGAAATTAATTAAATATTTCAAAACACTTCAACTAAGGAAAAGTTTTCATGATAGTAAAGAATTACTAAGAATAAAACAAAAAAAAATCAAACATAACAAATACTGGAATGGCAAATATATGACCAGCACTTCGAACAGTCTGGGGATAGGCTACCGCACAAAGTCCTAGTGTGTCATGGACGTGGACAGTGTCCATGACGCTTACTGGTGGCCAGGGGTCACTCGTGAGCCTGAGCTACTGCTACTTCTTGATATCCACCCTGTAGACCCGGACAGAATCATGCCGCACAGGGTGCAGGAGAACCATCTGTGATGGATGCTGGTGGCTAGCTCCATACTTTGCAGAGAAATGTTACTAGCCTGGAGCTTTTGCATCCGGGTTTGCTCGGCACTCTAGAAACTATCATAAACTAGCTTCTTGTGATTACAGAAATGGAGTGAGTCACTGATCTTGACATCTGCTTCTAGTATCGGGAAAGCCTCAGCGAGAGTGTGAGCCCAAGGACAGATGTGCTCAGTGACACGGTATATGCCTAAAGCTTCTTTGTTTCAGGCGTTTGGAGCATGTGAATGCACTCTGAGCCTTGATGAGTTCCAGCATGTGGTATATTATGCAGAGCATTCAGAGCAAATACTCTCTCTCAGAACGCCTAATCCGAACCATCGCTGCCATCCGCTCCTTCCCTCATGACAATGTAGAGGACCTCATCAGAGGGGTGAGTATGCTGCGTCCCGCAGAGGGGGTGGGCACTTGCCGGTGAAGCCTGAGCAAGTTCAGACTTGCGACTTGGCCTGAGCACAGGATGCCAGCCTGTACAGTCTTCTGGAATGTGTTAGCTGGCCATTAAAACCTATTTCCCCCTACATTTTGCTTTGCTTGCTTTCTCCCCTTCACTCTGTGTGTCTCGTAGTTTTCCTCTGAAAATATGTTCTAGATAGCTTTAGACTCATGTTCTTTGAAAAATCACTGTCTGAATATGGTGCACGTGGAAGCTCAAAGTCATCGAGCTCCAAGTCTTCGCACGTCTTACTGAGGGTGGTGGAGGGTAAGCAAAGCAGAGGCGCTTTTCAGAGCCGTATGAGCTGTGCTCCACACCAGGGTATGGTCCCTACGTGCAAGAGTTCACTTTCCTTTTGTGTTGTTACTGTAGCTGCCAGTTCTGGTTGGTAGAGAATGCTGAAGCTGAGCGCACTTCATCTGGTGTTCTGCCCTACTACTCAATAGTTCTGTCATGTGACTAGCATCCTTGACCGGCTTTGATGCCCTGGTCTGTTATTCCTGTTGAGGAAAAGTTACAGATATTCTTTTTCCACTGGAAAGCGTAACCATCTTTAATGACTTGGGATCCTGGTTAGCAGTGCCGAGCTCCGTAGCTGCTGCAGAGCTCTGTGGCTCAGCTTCAGGAGGAGCATGCAGGGTGAGCTTGTTCCCAGTGAAAGTGCAATCGAGAGATTCAGCGTAGTGGCTTTGTGGCACTCTAATTCTAGTTCTGCTGCTGAGTCACTGGTGGCTTTGGTCTGCCTGGTATCTCTCTCTATTTCCTGGTGGAAATAAAAACACTTGACTTGGAATAGGTGACAGTGAATGCGAGACCCGTACATGACCTTGGTGCTGTTTATGAACAAAAATAACATTAAGTGCTCCTTCCTGCTAGAGACCATCATGTCATTCAGTGAATGGCTAAAAGAACATGCATGCCAGCTCTGCCAGTCCGACAGACTCATGACTCTTCTAGGACGTGGTGGCCACAGGACCTAGATCACTGACCCAGCTTTCCTGCCTGACGATAGTGTTCTGTGGCTTTTACATGAAGGTTATGCCCTCAGTGATGTACAAGTAACCATCTTGGCATGCTAATGTGTGGAGAAATTTAATAACTTGTTCTAAGGGACTGGCTTCCTTTCCTTCCTCCTCAGTGTATTCCTCTGGCTTAGACAATGGCATTAAATTATTATTTAATTAAAAACGGGAACCAGGAAACAGTCCATTTACAGCCTAGTCAAGGTCAGGACTCGTGCCCCAGGTCTGAGTCTGTCTTGTGGGGTGAGCCAGAGTTGAGCTCGCTGACTGCAGTGTCCTTCCTCCTTAGGGAGCGGATGTGAACTGCACCCACGGCACCCTGAAGCCCCTGCACTGTGCCTGCATGGTGTCAGATGCTGACTGTGTCGAGCTCCTCCTGGAGAAAGGAGCTGAGGTAACATTCTCAACACGGTCACGTTAGCATTTCATGAAAATCTGAACTTCCTTTGTTCTTAGTTCTCTTTGCTCTTCCAGTCTGACCTTCCTATCGGCATAGCTTTGCCGTGTGTGTGTGCATGCCTGTAATCCCAGCACTCAGGAGGCTGAGGCAAGAGGATTGCTGTGAGTTCTAGGTCAGGCTGGGCTACACAGTGAATTCAGGGGCAGACTGCACTGCATAGCGAGACCCTTTCTGAACACCAACAACAGTAAAATTGACATAGCTGATACTAAAGGGAGAACGTCATGGTAAATCCACACACTAATCGCAAGGCTTTCACCCCTCTTCCTTTCTTCTCTTATTCTGTGCATGGCTCCCAGAAGGCTGATAGTGATAGCTTTTTCCTCGGTTGCAAAGCACTTGCAGCACAGCATGTCGGAATTGCTAGGTAAATGAAGAAAGCAGCAGTTTTGAGTGTTTATGAGCAGCCTTGAAGGCACATGTGTTGGGGCACTAAGTGACCCGGACGTGATGTGCGGTCCCAGCCAAGGGCCCCACCCTGCTGCCTTTGCCTCCTCTCACAGGGCCATGCTGCTCTTGTTCCGTGAGGCCAGTGAGGAGTGACCCTAAAGTGACAACGGATCAAACCCTCAAGTGATTAGAACCAGTGTTCAAAGTGAAAATATTGGGGGAGGGGGAGACTTAGCCAAATAAAAGTTGAAGTCACTTAAATGGTTCAGTTTTGTTTGTTTGTTTGTTTGTTTGGGGTTTTTTCATTTTAGGGAAGGGTCTACAGGGTGTTCAGGGTCTCACTGCTAGATCCGACTAGTGAGCCTCCTGTTTACAGCCTCCCAAGAGCTGGGATTACAGGTGTGCACCACCACGCCCAATCTCAGTTGCAGTCTCAGCCGCACCCCTGTTTGCAGGCGCTTTAATCCACTGAGCTATTTGGCCGGCCCTTAAATGGTTCAGTTTGGCTGCATCGTGTGTTATGGGAACAGATAATACGCTGGCACATATCTGGGGATCTGAAATGAGGATTAAGGGGACACTTACTGGGAACACTGTCCACTCGCCCCTCTGCGCGTGTTCTGCTGGGCTCCCTTGGCCGCCCACAGCGCGGTTTGGCCAATGTCTGGCTTAGCACTTCACACGTGGTTAAAGGGCACGGCAGAGCAATCACATGGCAGAGCTTTGTTCTGCTTCATTCTGGTTGCCTTAGGGACTGGATACAATGTCAGGAAAGATAAAGTGACTAGCTACTGTAGCAGCTCCCCAGGGAAGACTCTGCAAGCAGTTTCAAAGCCTTGCACATGGTCTTTTCCTACTTGACCCCTTGCTCTGGAGAGATTCTAGTGAGAAGAGGAGTGAGTGACACTGTAGCACCCCACGCAGCGCAGGTCCACTGTCTGCGCACAGCACTGTGTCGGGGTTGTGAGTCGGGAGCTCCGCTCTCTTAGCTCCCTCTTAGCTGCATCTGGATCACCAGGATCCCCTTCCATTGCCTTGGGACTGTCTTGCCCATAGCTATGCATGGGGCTGGGGAGATGGCTCAGTGGAATAAGCGCTTCCCTGGCAAGCGCAAGGGCCTGAGTTCAGTCCCCGGTTCCGGAAAGCTATGCGTGGCAGAGGTTGCTTGTGCGCCGCTATCTTCCTCCGCGGCGGCTTTGCTACTGTTGATCTAGTTCCTTCTCTCCTCCAGGTGAATGCCCTGGATGGTTACAACCGGACAGCCCTCCACTATGCAGCAGAGAAGGACGAGGCTTGTGTGGAGGTGCTGTTGGAGTACGGGGCGAACCCCAATGCGCTGGATGGCAACAGAGACACCCCCCTTCACTGGGCCGCCTTCAAGAACAACGCGGAGTGTGTGCGGGCCCTGCTAGAGAGCGGGGCTGCTGTCAACGCCCTGGATTACAACAACGACACGCCGCTCAGTTGGGCTGCCATGAAGGGCAATCTGGAGAGCGTCAGCATCCTGCTCGACTATGGTGCCGAGGTCAGAGTCATCAACCTGAAAGGCCAGACACCTATCTCCCGCCTGGTGGCTCTGCTAGTCAGGGGCCTCGGGACTGAGAAAGAGGACTCCTGCTTTGAGCTTCTGCACAGAGCAGTGGGACACTTTGAATTAAGGAAAAATGGCAGCATGCCACGCGAGGTGGCCAAGGACCAGCAGCTGTGCGAAAAGCTGACTGTGCTGTGCTCAGCCCCAGGAACCCTCAAAACTCTTTCCCGCTATGCGGTGCGCCACAGCCTGGGACTGCAGTACCTGCCAGATGCGGTGAAGGGCCTTCCGCTGCCGGCTTCCTTGAAGGAGTATCTGTTGCTTATAGAATAGCCCACAAGGACTTGCACCAGCACGCGGCGATTCTAGGGGAGGCCTGCCCGGCAGTGCCTTCCTTCTGCATGGAAAACAGAAAAGCGTCTGTTCCAGCGGTGGTTCACAGGCTTCAAGGCAGTGTGTCACAGTGGTGACCTTCACCCCGCCTCCCTCCCTGTACCAGGCAACCAAACCAAAATCCCTCATCTCTGTGTGCTCTTTATTGCTTACTTGGATTTGTTTAGCTTGCACTCTGCGGAATAAGAGGGCTCCCCTGTGCTGCCCTTTAGGGAAGAGTCAAGAGCACACCTGAGTCTCTAGGCGGGTGAACATGCGTGTGTGGCCTTCCCGGGCGGTGGGGCGTGAGGTAGCGTTTCAGGGGAAGCCTTTCTGAGCTTTTAATGGACGTGTGGAAAAAGAGAATTACAGTTCCAGCTACAGATAATCGTGCCCAAGGATGAAGTCGCTCTAGCTCTTGTTGGTGTCGGATTCAGAGCCGGGCATTCAGAAAGCCTGGGGTTGTCCATCGGTGTCATTTCACCAGGTGGCTTGCTGCTTTCCACATGGAAGAGCAGATGCACGCAGCCCTAGGAACTGGAAGTCCTGAGCATCGCAAGATGCCGTGTTGCAGTTTTCTGCCCCTCAGTGAAGCTGAAGGAGGATAGGCTGGCTGTCCTTCCCTTAGGGAAAACTCCCTCTTTAAGAGACCTAGGTGTTTCTCCTTCCCATTGTCTTGGAAACTGATTTTGCATAAATCTTTGGGGGAAGGGGAAAAGAGACTAGGCAGAGAACACTTAGCTGTCCTCGCAATGCCCCCCAGGATCTGTGTTAGTGAATAATGTTCAGCCACATCTTTCACTTTCCTGAAGGAGATCAAGTTGTTACTGATCCTAGATGACCTATATGCAAATTGGACCTTTTTAAAAAAGCTGGTTGGGAGCTACAAACAAAACGAATGGGCTCTGCTGCTAATTGAAAACTGTTTGCTTTTGTCTTTGCCCGTTTAAAAAGAAATTAAAGTTCTAAAAAGAAATTTGACGATTTCTTGTTTCTATTTTTCTCCATTCTTTCCTCCTGCTGTTTATAAAAAGTTCTTTATTTGCTGGCTTTTGGCATATTTTAATTCAATTTCTCTGCCATAAACAACGGTGCTACTCGGCACTGCCAGCCAGCGTGGACGGAAAGGCTCAGGCAGAGTATTTGAAAAGCCTCCTTTTTTATACCTCCTGTCCACCCCCAAATTTAGAATTATTGCTCTTGTTTTCAACCCCAGCTGCACATAGGCCATCAATGAATTTTTTTAAAAGTGCTTGCTGAGATTTCACCCCATACTCGTTGTTTACTTTCCGAGGTAGGACTGGCCTCTTAAGTTTCTTCAGCTGTGTCTAGGGCTTTAGGCAGTGGCGCTCCAGCTTAGTTATTAAAGTCACAGAGGGATTTTTTTTCCCCATAATTTTATTGAGAAACAAATAGCAATGAGACAGTTTCAAACCAAACTGGTAGGACAGTTTCAATAATTAACACATTGCGTACATTCTTCCTAGTGGGGAATTTTTTTGGTATGGGAATTGAACTCAGGACCTTGCGCTTGCTAGACAGGCACTTCAGCCACTGAGCTGTATCCCTGGCCCAGGAAAGTTTTTAAATACTGTACCAACTCTGGGCTCCACCCGCATGGACTATGATAATTGGCCCACAGTGGGCGTGAGCATCAGTATTTTAAAAGGTAGCCCAGAGGGCTCCACTTTCAATCTGGGTTCATGATCACTGCAGTAGCTATTTCATTTCTATCATAGACGTTGTATTCTGGAAAGGCAGAGTGTTTTGCCCATGTGGGAAAAGATTTTCCCTTTTCTCGTTCCTTCAGTCACTCACTGAGCGCCGGTAGGCTGTTTCCAAGCCCACTTAGCTTGCATTTTCACCTTTCTTGCTCTGGGAACAGCATGTACTGCACTGGGTTTTGTTGCTAAGTGGTCTCCACTGTTGTTTCCCTTCAGCCCCTATTACGATCTTAAATCTTTTTTACTGCTCATAGTGTCTCTCTGCTGTGATTAGATTTCACCTAACTCCATTTCCTTATCTCTTTGTCCAGGAAATTTCTAGGATTAAAGATAGGAAGGAGAAGCTGTAAGCTAATGGCAATTAGCACTGACAGTACCAGAAGTTGGGCGTGCTGGTGCACACCTATAATCCCAGGCTCTGGGAGGCCGAGGTGAGGAGGACCTTAAAGGAGTCCATTCTGGACAACTTAGTGACTGCAGGCTGTCTCAAAAAAATTTAAACAGGGCTGGAGATAAAGCCGTGTGAAAGCCCGGGCTTGCACCGTGCCTTCCCTCTGCCCTCACGGCCTTGATGGTGTTTTGGCTTTGAGGTGGCGTGGTAGGGATGGGCGCTGAAGTCGGAGCTGAGACCGAGAGGGCTAGGAGACGTGCCTCGTCACCCCAGGCCGTGTCCTTGTCTCTCAAGTGTCATCACTCTCCATAAAGCCATTTTTGGGATTCAGTGATAACGTGAAATGCCTAACACTTGACTTTCACTGTCCATTTTCCCATAAAGAGCTATAAAGAGAATTTGGCTACTTCAGTTTCAGACGCTGGCAACAAGCCTTCTCGGACTACTTAGAATGGTTGTTTTAAAACCCTGAATGCTTTTCCTGCTCTATCAGGCAAAGGAGGTAGCTTGGAAGGTACAGGCCACAGCCAGGTACTAGACGCTAATCTTACCCTGGCGTCATGACAGGACCGCCTCCTGACAACTGAGCACACAGTCTGTGGTCCCAATCCTGAGGACCACCTGCCTTCCGTGGGCATGTCATCAGTGAGGAAGGGGCTGCTACAGAACGGAGGGCAGGACCGTGAGCTGTCCGACCAACCTGCCAAACCGGGCCGGCAGAGGCTGTATTATCCAGGATTTCCAACGTGCATGTTTCCCACGGAGTTCCTGGCAGATGGAGCCTGGCTTTCATCCAGGAAGGAGTACAGGGGGAAACCGAGAAGGAAAAACTCTGGGGTGGGGTAATGTTAAAAGAGCAGAGACTGCGGGATGGCTGGCAAAGTACAGCCCTGGGCAGCAGGTAGAGAAGAGGGGAGACACTTTGCTTAGGGCAACAGGAGCGTCCTTCCTGCAGGGTGACAGACGAGGACTGTGCTCTGTGTCCTGACAATGCTGAAACAGCCCAATGGGCACAGCAAAGAGCACGGGGCAGTCTCGCGGGCTGTCTTCCCAGAGTGCTGTCTGCCTGGTGAGGTGTAGCCCATGGAGCAACGGGCTGCGTTTCATGTAAGAACATAACAGCAGAACCAAAAGCACAGTGACCAGCTGGCCTTTATTAGTATAGTTACAGTTTGTCCTTGTGGTAAACATGGTAGAGGAACCAAGACTCCTTGTTATCACAAAGAAATAAATAAAGCTTATTTTTAGGAAAATTCTGAGTAGCTGACAGCTAGCAGTGGCAGCAGAGGGGCACAGCCTGGGTAACAAGCAGCTGGGTGAAGTTAGGTAAATCCTATCTAGGCGACCCGGCTCGCCCCCACTCCTGGCCAGAACTGGTCATGGCGGCAGGATGAAAGGAAACCTAGAGAAAGCACTAACACTACGAAGAGGTGCACTTGGCTCTGCCGGGGGCGAGCTGACCACGGCCAGATGAGCTGTTTCTCTTGCTCCAGAGCTCTACACGGTAGCTTCCCCAGACCGCTTCCTGGAGATGTGCTCCAGGTGGGCGTGGTCGGAAGTGTCCAAGTCAATTTCATACTTGGCCAGGATTTTCAGGATGGGCCGCAGCTTCAGCCACCACTGCTCCTTGGGAATTCGGTGCCTACAAAGAAATGAGCCTCTTTTAACAACCCCAGCAACTTCTACCAAACTCGTGGGAAGAAACTGGGCAGAAGAAGCTGGATTTAGGTTATGGTCCTCAGACCCAAAGTAGGTAGGTCAACAGGGGTTAGATTAAAAGAAAAGCAGTGAAGACAGGTAGAAGAAAAGAAAGCTTGCACTACTCGGGGGAGGACCATCCTAGCCAGCAGTCAGAAGTACTCACTCAAAATCTGTCTGTTCCTGAAGCTCCGTCACCGGCTGAAAGACCAGGGCCCTCTTCCGCATCCCCAGGACACAGCCCGAGTCGGGGGTATTGGCAAAGATGCGCCCTGCGACAAAGGAAGGTCAGGCAGCTTCTGTCCTGGGAGCTGGCCTCTCTGGGCGGGACACCTCGCACCCCACCTACCATTACGGTAACTTTCTTTGATTTTCCCAGACATCCAGTTCATGGCCTTAGCCCCCATCTTAGTGGCAAAATTCCTGTCAAAGGGAGTAGGGCTCCCACCCTGGAGAAAGAATTATAAATATCAGGAAGGCTTACAAGAATGCGACGTCTGTGAAAGGAGGCCCTACGGCAGCAAGGGGCCCATGGAAGCTGCCTCGGCAAGACTAAGAGTAGCAAAAATGACGAAAGCACAGCTCTTCTGGACCATGCAGATGCCAGATCCACTTCAGTCCCAGGGGTGCCCCACGCAGTTCCCCGCCCCTCTTCAGCCCAGGAGCCGCTGTCCTCGCATGATGGATCTAGACGGTGCCTACGGCCATACCACCCTGAACGCACCCGATCTCATCTGATCTCGGGAGCAAAGCAGGGTCGGGCCTGGTCGGTACTTGGATGGGAGAGCGAGAAGGTGCTCTCTGTGCCCAACCTAGCGGCCCTTGATAGAGTCTCAGGATAATAGGACACATACAGATTTTCTCTGAAGTAAGAGAAAATGGGAAGGTGCAAAGGAGGGAAACAGAATGTAAGGCTCCATAAACATCCAACAAAATCCCATTGCTGCAGGTACTCACTGGCAAATTCATTTAAAATGAAATACACATATTAGGAATTGCCTGGTCAGTGATGAAGGGGCCCTAGCCGAGGCCGTCGGGATGGGCAGGGCCTCAGGCCCCAGGCACCCCAAGAGTGAGGTAAAGACAGAGTGTTTGCAATAGAAAGGAAGCTCCCTCCCCAAAAGCCCAGCCGGCTGGCGCTCAACACCAGCAAGCGCCTGCACTGGCCCAGCGGGCTCTTCCCACAGGCCACAGACCCAGCCCATTCTAAGCCAAGCTTGAGCAGTGGCCCTGAGAACTCTACTTTCCCTCCCTGGACTTCACGTTCCTTGTCTGGACCAGAAGCTCTCACATGGAGGAAGGGCTCTCCTTCGAGTGTGTTCCGCAGTAGCGGGGACACACTGTTAAAGTTGGGTTAGGATAAAGCGCTGCAGACATTGAGCGAGTGGAGTCTGGGGTGCCAGGACAGCCACCCACGACAGCAACATTGGCAAGCATGAGGAACTCTCCCGAGGGCAGGCGGCGAACCACGTCATCTCCAAAGCCATTCCCAGCAATGCTCTGAGTCTGACCCAGGAGACTGCAGGCCCTTGCTGTGGTGGGGCCCCGTGCCTGCAGACAGGGGTGCCAGCAGGAACCTGGCCGGCAGGCAGCACTGCCGCAGCATGACTGGGCGCTTTCCCTACCTGCTGCATGTGGCCAAGCACATTCTTCCTGCTGTCGAAGATACCTCTGCCCTCCTCCGAGTACAGGTTGAAGATGAAGTCCGTCGTGTAGTTCTCGCTGCACTTCTCGTTCCTGCCGGGCAGAACCCAAAGCCGTGGGGCTGCCTGCCCCCGCCTGCCTCTGCACCTCCTGCTGCTTTACCCCTCCCCGGGTTCAGGGAGGAGACTCGCTTCCCTCAGCTCTGCAGGTCCCTCCGGGCGGGTGGGCAGCATCCCAGCCACAGATCCACTCCGTGTTTAGAATGGCCCAAACCCCTTTTTTTCTGAGGAGCACACCAGGGAGCAATACCTTAACACCAAGCCTCTTTTCACAGTTGTTTTCATCTTTTGCACCAGATGTTCAACATTTGCCTGAAAATGAAACAGAGCCTGAGCCAGGCTGGGCATGAGTATGCTCACTCCAGCAACAGCACTAGTCCTCCTCTTCCTGGGGGATGGGCCTCAGAAGAGAGCTGCTTACAGTCTCAGCTTGAGCTGTGCCTAAGTCCTGTAAGAAGTTCAGTGTGCGCCAGACATGGCAGTGCACGCCTGTAATCCTAGCACTCTGGGAGGCCGAGGCAGGACGGTTGTAAGTTCAAGCCCAGTCTGGGCACCTGGTGACTTAGTGAGGCCCTGACTCAAAAACCCTTGCAAAGGAGAAGGGTGGAGCTTGGTGCAGAAGCCCTGGAAGGTTATTTAATGTGGAGTGAAAAGGACTGAGACAGGACTTGCCGGGCATGAGAGCAGCCACGGCAGTGTCGGTGCCAGCCCTCACCCTCACTCATGCCTTCTCAGGGAGCGGACTCTGCTCAGCTTTGGTCTTTCCTTGTTTCTTCTATAGAAAGCAGTGAGACCTCACACTCCTTCATCTGCACTCTGAGCCGGGTGTGAAGGAGGCAGACTCCTGCCCTCCGCTCCAAGCAGGGGCTGGCCGGGACCCGAATGAGGATGCACCGCAGCCTACTGCCAAAGCTCCACTCTGACTCTTCTCCCCAGTGAACTGGCATCAGGGAAAATAGTATCATGGGTCCCCTCTGTGAAACACAAGTCAGAGTGGAGAGGGTCTCTCCCTTGCAAATGGACCAGCAGGGAGGGAAGTCTTGAGGGACAGCATGATGTGACAGGCCGCTGACCTTCTCAGCAGTTGAACTACCTGCTCACTTAGTTTAAACCCTTCTCACCTGCAGTTTCGAGAGGCTACCTTCTTTGCATAAATGTTGTAAGGATAAAGTAAAACCTGCACATGGGACACTCTGCTCCATCCTCATCCCGAGCTCTTCCAGCTCAGGTGACTGAGGAGGGGACAGCTGGGGTTGGACTGGGGCAGGGGACAGCCTCCTCAGCAGGCGCTGGGCGGCCACTGACCTGCAGGTCTCGAATGGTGAAGGGCTCCTCAAAAATGTAAGCGGCATCAGCCCCAGCTGCCAGTCCTGCCATGGTGGCCAGGTAACCACAGTAGCCCCCCATGGTCTCGATGATAAACACGCGGCGCTTGGTCCCCGCTGCGGACTGCTTGATGCGGTCACATGTCTGCAAAGAGAGGGTCACAGTGAGAAGACGGAGTTGGGGGCCAGTCTGTGCCACCGCTGCAGCCCTTGCCATTAACTCTAGAATGACATTCTCAATCTGAGGCCTCCTCAAGCTCTGGCATGGCATGGGGAGGATTCACCAGCCAGACCGTAGAAGGAAGAAAGCTCTACCTCTCCTTAATGTCAAAGTTGGAAAATAATAGCCTCAGAAGAGGAAAAAATGGCGGCATTGGACTCATTTGCAGGCGTGGAGAATGAATGTCATCAACATTTGTACGCATGCCCAGGCTGCAAGAGCGGTTTTTCAAATATCGCCCAGTTTGGGACCACACAAAGCAGCTCGCTTTCCATGCTGAGTCCTGGACGATGGGCGTGGAGGCGGTGGTGGGTCCTCACCGTGCAGATGGTGTTGAGCGCCGTGTCAGCCCCAATGCTAAAGTCCGAGCCAGGGACGTTGTTGGAGACAGTGGCGGGAATGACCACAAATGGGATGCAGAGCTCATCAAACTGCTTCCTGCCCTCCATTAGCTCCAGGCCACCCGTGTAGGCCTGAGAAGAAGAGAGCAGCGGAGTGGGGGCAGGCAAGGGGTAGGGGAGGGCAGGAGGGCGAGGGCAGGGGGCGCGGGGCCTCACCTCAAAGCCTCCAATGATGACCAGGCCCTGGATGTTAAACTTGGTTATGTTGGCACTGATCTGCTCCAGGCTCTTCTTGGGTAACGTCCTAGTGTCACCAATGGGAGGGGAGTGGAAGTTGGGGGGAAAGACAGCAGGATCGGGAGAACAGTGTTCTACCGCTTCTTGACCTGCACCTGCTGTTCTCTCCCACCCACTTACCCCAAACTAAGGCCAACGTCAGAGCTACAAGACAGCGCATAGGCCAGTCTCCCCTGGCCGAAGCTGCCAGGAGCTGGAGGGGGCAGCAGCTTGGCCACAGACCAGTTGGGAGCACTCAAGGTACCTACTGAAGGGGTAACTGGGAGCAGGCGCTGCTCAGTGCCACATACCTTTTAGTCCCGAGCTTGGAACCACCTTGACCAGTCCAGCCGCCCACATAGCTCCAGCCGGCTTCCTCAATCTGCAAGGAAGGCCACATGACTCACACTGTAGCCAGGACCCCAGCTCGGCCAGGACGGGGCCACCGGGGCTCTGCCTGGCCCCTTCAGAGTCCCCATTCACTGGAGGGGCAACACAAGGTATCGGCTTCTCCTCACACCCCTGCTGTTCACTCAGAACTCGCAAGCAGGACTGGGGAGATGGTTGGTTCCCCCAGCTCCGCCTGTTCTTACTCTCTTAAAATTAAATATTCATTTTGGTTTTAACCCTGGGAGAGGAGAGAGAAGGATGTGGGACAGGGAGGTGAAGAAAATGGGCTAGTCTCCCTGCTGTGCCCATCTTCCCAAGACCACCCCACGCCCGCACGGTAGGCGCCCGGGCCGCACCTGACCCTTGGCCAGGCCCTCGAAGCCGTCATGCACAACCAGCACTCGGTTGCCTTGGATCAGGCCGATCCTCACGGTGGAGCGGACGGCGGCATTCATGCCCGCAGCGGGGGCGCCCACGTTCATCACGGCCACTGTGAACGAACCGCTCTATGCAGGAAAAGGCGGGGGGGGGGAGTTAGCGAGAGGCGAACCCTGAGCCCATTCCACCCTAGGAGCGGGACATTGGCCTCCGGCAGCGCGCATCCCTTCCCAGGGCACGGCAGCAGAGCTGCTACCTCCTGCTGCAGAGGCAAAATCCTTGACAAGAAATCAGCAAATAAAAGCTGCTCTCTGACCCGTTATCACCACATACCAAACAAGGGCCATCCCAGGGCAGTGCTCCCGGGTGTGACCCCGGACGGGTATGGCCCAGCCCACAGACAGAGCCTGAGACCCGCCTGCCCTTGCCCTCTGCCACTTGAAGGGAATCTGTGCATTCAAGAAGCCACCCAGGAGTTCTGAGACGGAGTAAACCTTCAGAGCCACTCCTTGCACGGAAAAGGTGCCTCAGACAGACTGAGGCGGGCTGTTCCTGGAGGGCAGCCTAGCTGAGCCTCTTCCCGGTCCTCTGTGCGCTATCTGCCAGTCCTAAGCTGGGGGACATCTTCTGGGCCAGTGTGGGGAGTGGTGAAGAGAAGGGCTCACGGTGCAGCCCAGGACCAGCACTGAGGAGTCCTGGGCAGGGAAGAGACCGGCACAGCCTGGCTAGCACGAACTCAGGGTGGCCCTTCACGAGGAAACTGAGGCAGGCAGAAGGCCCAGGGGAAGGGGCAGACCGCAGTACCTTAGAGACTGGGGGTCTGACGTGTGCTAGGAGCTTGTACACCTCCCAGTTGTTCATGAAGCTCCTGTAAAAGCAGAGACAGGGGTCTCGGGCCGTTCCTCTCAGCCTTGGGGACCCTAGTCCAAAGACTGGGTCCCAGACTAAAGTTCCGTAGAACAAATGTCTACGGATAGAATGGGGGACAGTAGGACTGGACAGGGCCATGAGGCTCATGGATCCCACACCCCGGGCACTCCTGCCCTCAGCACCAAAAGCGACTGTCCCTTGGGCGGAGAAGCTTAGGATCCAGCGGGGTCCACACTGGAAATCACTACGAGAGGCTGACCCTCCTGGTCACCCCTCAGCCAATTTTCTTGAGGAAGAAACCATTGCAGAGATAAGCAAAGCAGAAGCAGAAGCTCGTATTTGGGGCCTGGATTACGGACTCGGAGCTTCATCCTGGCATCTGACTTCTGTAGCTAGCAAGCTTCACATCATGTCCTTACCGGCCTCTCAGCTTCATGGCTTCATCAAACCTCTTGTCATCCATGGCCTTGGTCACATCTTTGGTCTGAGGGAGGAGCACAGAACAGTTAGGTTCTGGGCCGCCACGGCTGCACCCCGAGGCCCGCACCTGGGCACTGCCTGGACCCCGCCTACTGCACACCCTGCTTTCTCTGTGCTCAAAAACTCATAGTAATGTCTTTATTTCTCTTTAATTTTTAGAATTCTGGGCAGAGTGAAAGGGTTCACAGAATAGTGCCATCTTCTCCACGCCTCACCAGCGTCTCTGACCACCCTTAACAATGGAGTAAATGAAGAAAATCCCAAGGAAACCCAGCAAGACAGAGCCTCCTGCTGTGCGCTTCTGGGGCACAATTCCTGCTCTCTGACTGAGTCTAACACTTGAGTTTAGAGATGAGTTGGAAGAGGCCGGTGAGGACACGATGAGAAGCGAGCCACTGCTGCAAGCCAGCTCCCAGCCACAGCGCTCACGCGGTGGCCGGGCAGGCGAGCCCCCTGAAACCCAAGCCTGCGTTTCCTGAGCCAAATGTCCCGGGACCGGCTCTGCATGCTGTATGTGCTCTCTTCGTCCCCATAAGCAAGCGGGCGTGCAGAGCAGCACATCCAGGGCGGCAGATGCAGGGACAGAGGCTGCCCAGCCTGAACTCAGTAACAGCTGCCTGCTCCTGGTGTCAGGCGAGAAACCACCTTGCGTCCAGTGAAGGCGCAGTGGGCAGGTACTAGGAGCTAAAGGGTCACCACGACTCCTGCAGAGAAGGGAGGCTTGCAGAAGTTACAGGCCCTGCAGCTAGAGGGTGCGACCCACTATGTTCTGTCCCCGCGTGGCTCCTGCTCCCCCCTGGCCACGCCAGGCCTCGGAAGTTGGTCTCATCTCCCAAGAGTCCCCAGCCAGGGGCTCAGATCGGGGCGGGGCTGGCACTCACCACCTGGACACACTCCATGAGGGGCAGGCGCACCGCCTGGTTCCCAGAGAGGCTCACCACACAGGCTGGGGTGTCAGGCGTCCCCTCCAGCAATGCCATCACTGCCTCCACACCCATCCTGCTGCCCTGCAGGAGTCCAGAGAACAGGAGTCTGGATCAAGCTTCCCAGCCTGGCCCAGCCAGAGGGCCAGGATGTTCAGCGCCCTTTCCAGATCCTCAGGCTGAGATCCACGTTCGCAGTCGCCATCCAAGAACGTCCTGGGTCTGACCTCCCAGGTGTCACCCTAAGCTGCAGGACCCTTCCTCCTGCCATTAGAACCCCGAGGACTCCAAGTGCTTCAGGAGGAACCAGCCCACTACAGAGACCCGTGGGGTACCAGAGCTTAAGAAAACTCCCTTCACACTGACAAACCAGGAGGTGGGCTGAAACTCTTTCTGAAAGCAGGATAAGAAGGTGCAAACGGTCTAAGGTTAGATTGCACTAATTCCACTGATGTTTAGAGCTCTAAGATGCTGTCCTCAGCACCAGGAAAGTTGTAGTCTCCCCTCGTTTCTGTAAAAGAGACTCCCAAACATGTGGAAATGGGGAAAGGGACTGAACCCCGGGAAGCTGGAGAGGCACGGCCTGGCCAGGGCCAGGAGTTGGGCAGAACGGCAAGGCCGGGCTTGGCAGCACAGAGGCCAGCACCCTGCCAACTCACCAGGATTCGGTCAAAGGCGGATGGCGTGCCACCTCGCTGCACGTGCCCTAGGACAGTGACCCGGGTGTCATATCCCAGGCGCTTGACCACCAGCTGAAAGACCGAGAAAGGGATACCAGAGACACAAAGATAAAACAGCAGCCACTGAGGTAAGCCACCAAAGAGGGCTGGGCTTTGGGCTTACTCTAGCTTCTAGTAGGAGGAAACAGGCAGGGACCCCCCAGAACATGCAGAAGGCCCAAGGGGGACACAGGGGCCAGCTGGGGCTAATCTCCTCTGGTTTCACTCCTACTAACATTCTTGATGTCCTCGGAAGTGATTGGTTTTCCGTTCTTGTCAATGGCACCCTCAGCTACAATGATGATGTTAAGGCGGGAACCCCGGGTCCTTGTCTGGTCAAGAATCAAACGCAGCACAGTAAGAGGACTGAAACTGAGGGATGGACAGATGGGCAGATGGACAAACAGACAGATCGGTAGTGGGAAGGGTGAGGACACTCCGAGCAGAAGGCACCTCGCTGAGCCGGCGACAGAGGTGCTCCTCCCAGTCGTCGTCCGGTGGACACTCGGGAATGAACACCCAGTCAGCCCCGCAGGACAGAGAGGTGACCAGAGCCAGGTACCTGCGGGAGAGTCAGCGTCAGAGTGGGAACTGCACTCTGCACACAAAGTCGCTTTGTCCTGCAGCTTATGCAAGATCTGGGGGGAATGCAGAGCCCCAGGCTTGTAGGCCAGGCACCGCGCCCCCCCCCCCATCCCTGTCCCAGGGGCTTCTGATCCTCCAGTGCTGCAAGCATGCCTCAGTGTACAACCTCATGCAGCTAAGTAAGGGAGGTGGACGGGCAGGGGAAGGGCAGGGCCACAAGGAGCACGTCCATGCCCTGGTGTGCTGCTCCGAGAGGCCGCCGGGCCTCTAGGAAGAGCACAGGGACTCCCTGGGCTGTAGAAGTCAGAGTGGAAACCTTACCCACAGTGGCGGCCCATCACTTCTAGCACAAACGTCCTCTGGTGGCTGCAAGAGACAGGCATAGGACTCGTGCTGTCCCCATGTCCCTGTGGCCAGCAGCCATCGCTGCCCACATCTATGCTAGCTGACCCCTGCACCTGGGGGACACACGTTCATACCAGGTGTCCTCCTCTGCAAGCCTGAGAAAACCCAGCACTAACAGATGTTGGTACGGAGGCTCTGTTCCAGAGGGGATGGGAAACGAAGGGGAGAGAGAGGAAAGGAGAGGAGACTGGGCTACACTGGTCCTGTCGATCACCCGGGATGGGTTCACCCTTCTGCCTGTCACTGCACACGTGGCACCCTGGCCCCTCGCCACGAACGCCTCGCGTGGCGCTCACAGCATCTACTGCCTCCAGGACACAACGGCAAGGGGTAGCTCAGGCTCAGGCTCAGGCTCCCTGGACCTGACTCAGTCTGCATACAGCCATAGCCTCAGTTCGTGAACATAATTCATCCCATAATGCTGCAAAAGATGGCCATATTCATGTGCGTGCAGGAAAGATGTTTTTCACGGTCATGTCTGTCACCTAGTATAGAGTTCACAAACAAAAACAAAATTTTGAGGGCCATCAAGATAGCTCAGTGGACTAAGTGCTGGCTTAGGCAAGCACAGGGACCAGTGTTCAATCCCCAACACCACATGCCATGCCTGGCTCGCCCCTGAGGGCGCTGAGCGGGCCACCGAGACGAGACTGGGCATGGTGGTGCACGCCTGTAATCCTAGCACTAGGGAGGCTGAAAACAGGAGGATTGCTATGAGTCTGAGCTGTGTAGGGAGATCCTACATATACCAAATACATATAAAGAAGTGAATTAAAAAAATTTGCTAAACACTTCTGTGTTCCAACCAAACTGTTTGCAGACAAGAAGGTTCGTGAACCAAGGTGCCGCTGTACTACCAATGCAGGAGAGCCCACAGGAATTCCAGACCTCAGAGCTCCATGTCTAGATAGGGAGCCAGGCAGCAGCAAAAGGCAGGGCCTGTGGGTTCAGGGAAACGTGCAGTACCAGTATTCTGGGATACCTCTGAGCTAAGAATACATGTTCTAAACCCAGAAAACCGGCCGCTGCAGCTCAGATGCCGCGGGGCTTCGCCAGCCCCTCCCCGTCTGCTGACCTGCACCACCACCCCAGTGGCCCTGGAGCCCCTACCTCTGCGCAGTCGTGGTGATAGCATCAACAATCTCGATGATGCGGTGCAGGGCGGAGTCGGTGCCGATGGTCATGTCAGTGCCACAGAAGTCGTTGTCAATTGAGCCCACCAGCCCCACGATGTTCAGGAAGCTGGATTTTGCAGCCTCCTCAGCTGTGATCTTACCTACAATGGGTGACACAGCAGGAGCCCCAAGGTGAGGCCCCCAGCAGCCCACCACGTGGGTCGCTTGAGAGAGGAGTCAAATGTGCACATGCGCACGAATCACATGAACAGGAGTAACATCTCACCAGCCTTCTGAAGGTCACTCAGCAAGTCACTCCACTCAGAGCGGAAAGTGTCGGCCCCCGTGAGGCTGCCGTCACCCCCGATGACGCACAGATTGGTGATCCCGAGCTTCACCAGGTTGTGAGCAGCACGCAGGCGTCCTTCACGCTCCCGGAAGTCTTTGCACCGGGCACTTCCGATCACTGTGCCGCCCTTCAGGGGACAGGAAGAAGTCAACTCCCCAGACCACATGGTCCGATCTGGACTCAGTACGCTTGGATTTCCCCCGTCCCAGTCCTGGGATGAGCCGACACGCCATGTGACTCCCTAAGAAGGACCCTGACATCCCTCAGTTGTTCGTTGGCTGAAACCTGATCGGGTCATCTGCGTGTTCCGTTTTACATGGTGCAGCGCTGCTAAGATTGTCCACTTCACCAAAGACTTCACCACCAAAGTGACCACGTCTGAAGAGTGGTGCTCGGGGCAGGAAGTGTAACACCCAACCATTCCTAAGAAAACCAGCTCAAGGTGTAGGTAGGAAGCCTAACACCCCCAGTGCCTCACTGACACCCCAAGAAAGAAACGCAGAGTTGGGCTTCTCGTAAACCATTCAGCTCCTGGACATCTGGGGCTGTGGCATAACGCAGCATTCTGGGTCATCCCTTCCTGCATAGCACCTTCACTAGAGGCCCCACGCTAAGTTTCCCCCATCGCTGTCTAGGGCGGCAGATACATTCATAGCTTGTCAGGTTTTAGTAAACCAACAAATAGCGCTGCTCCTACCAGGTGACCCCACAGCTGATACCATTAAAAGGAACCTAGAACAATAATACATAAAGTAACGCAAAGGACTGCAATTTTTTTTTTTTATTTTATTCAGTACAGCAGCTCAGACTCATAGTGATCCTCCTGTTTTCAGCCTGCCCAGCACTGGGATCACCGGTGTGCACCACCAAGCCTGGTTTCCACTGGCACAGTGGGGCCAGCACAGAATGTGGTATTAGGGATTGAACCTGAGTCCTTGTGCTTGCCAGGCAAGCACTTAGACCACTGGGCTATCTCCCCAGCCAGGGACTGCAAATTTTTAAAACCATCAGCATGTTTCTTGGATTTTTTGAGTCTCCAAAAGGCACACAGCCCCTTGCGTCTCTGTGCGGCCCCGCTTGGGGCCAGCTCATCTCCATCAGCCCTGCTGCTGGCTCTGTCCATCTGCTAAGCTTACTTCAGGGCCAGCCCTTCCCCATGACCCCAGATGAGGACTCACTCCGTGCCAGGTCCCAGGTCTCACCGTGACCTTTCCAGAAAGAGCTCCACGGCCGTTCGCCCTCCCCACCCCTGAGCAGGAGACCAGCGTGATGTTTCCGAATGCAAGGAGTAAAGGGTAAACAGAAGCCCTTCTCCTGTCATTTAATCCCTTCCCCCCAGCCACGTGGCTGGGAACCAAGGAGCCCAGGAGCCCAGCCAGGGAGACGAGACCAGGACAGGACAAACATGGGACAGCACGCTTGGGACGTACCAGCTGCAGCATCATGGAAACACTCTCCCAGGTGGCCTCCCTGATGTGGTCGCCACCATCCACCAGCCCTTGGTAACCCTGTAAGACACAGCATACCCATGCAGCCTCCGACTGGCGGCTCCCTGAACCTCCACCATTGAGGCGAGCTACCAGGGGATGCTCTCTGGGGCTCAAGGCGTTGCCTGCACTAGTGGCCACGGGATGTTCGTGAGGTGGTCAAACTAACACAGGTTGCAGAGGGGGCACCAGTTCTTCCAACACACTACTGTAGTTACTCTCCTAGTGAAACATCAGAACAGCACTCCTGATGCGGAAATTCTAGCTTTTGTTTTTGTCTTACCCTACTTCCTTCAATCTGCTCCCCAGCAGGACTAGGTAACAGATGGCTCTGATAACAATGAAGGAAAAAAGAAGGGGGAAGGAAAGAAATGTGACCTAGTATAGTCTTTTATAAGACTATAAAATGTGAGACAAGAAAAGGAAGACAGTCATCATAGGAAGAATGGCGGGCAAAGCATGAGAAAGAACTGAGGGGAGAAAGCTGAGGAGGAAACAGGACCTTGGAGAGTGAGGCAAACTCAAAGCACACAGTGTGACCGCTCCCTGCTGCAGCCCCAGCAGAGGATAAGGCCCTGACTAAGGATGCCCGCTTCAGTTTCTGGGTGGAAGAAGGTGGAAGGAGGTGAGAATAACTCTTCTGCCTCTGACACCAACAGGCAACATGAGGACCCAGGGCAACACCTGGGTCTCAGCATCACCGCTCTGGCCAAGGGCAGGGGGAGGGGCCTGTGGTGACAAAGACCCAAGGAAAAGCAAACAGAAATGGGCCAGGGAGGCAAGAAAAAGGACAACAGGCAGGAGGCAGGAGCAGAGGACAGGGAGAACAGAGCAAGAGTGACAGACCACGAGGCAGGGACCCACCTCATGGACAAAGAAGACCCGGGCGCCGGTGAAGATACCAACTCGAACCACAGCCCGGACAGCAGCGTTCATACCTGCCAGGAGAGAAGGCGTCAGGCAATGGCTGCACCCAGACTGGCAGCCCTGGCATCCACTGGAGTGGCACCTGGCGAAAGCCAGGCTTTTCTCTGAAGCTAGACACTCTCCTCACCCAAGCCTCTGAGGGGAGAGACTATCCAGTGTCAGCCGAGCTCCTGAGACCCTACTGCTTCCCCCATCCGTCCCCGCTTCCCGCCAGGACAACCTGAAGGATAGTGGCGGGGGGGGGGGGGGCAAAAAAAGCAAGCTCCGAAGAACAGCGAGCCTGTCTCCAGGGGGCCGCACACCACCGACAACCTCCCCAGCATGTCCCTGAACCACGTCACCTCTACAGCCCTGGCGTGGCCTGCATTGCGCAGACTCGCAAACTGAAGCTCAGAGCGGAGACGGCCCCGCAGCTAGGGCGCCTGAACGCTGAGGTCTGAATGAAGTTTAAACGCCCAAGTTAACGCTGCTAAAGGTACCATGCCCGCTCAAATCCCAATGGCTACTCTAGGCTTTCCCTGGTCTTCTGCATTGAATCTCGACCCCCGGGTTCAGGAGTTTCTTTGGAGTAGAGGGGGACAAAAAAACATGACTTTCTGTAGTCTGATGATCTGATGTGTCACAGTTCATTTCCAAGTACAATACATATATTATTGGAGAGCAAATTCTCTAAGACGTGCACATACGTGCGGCCCAGCAGTCATCTGAGTGGCCTTCATTCCACGTATGTGCCCCAGCTGTGATTCTCCGACTCCCATGCTGCCAGGAGAGGCTGTGACTAAGGGCACAACGCTGGGGAGCCCGGCTCCTGGCACTTGCTTAGTCAGCAAAGAGCTGCCCGCCCCCCTGCCCCCCGCAAGCTGTTTGGGAACTGATCAAGACGCTGTAAACTGTCTTCTCTCTGCTTCCACTGCAAGGAACAACTAGGTCTGAAATGCAGAGCAGCGGTCTTCCACTTCTCCGCAGGTGAACCTCAACCCCTTTCCTAGGAGCTAGTCAGTGACAAGAGCTCTGTCAGAGTGCAGTGGGGCAGCCAGCGCATCCCAACACACAGCGGGAACTGGGTGTCTCTCGCGTCGGGTCCACGTTAGGGACAACACTGACACTGAACTAAGGAGCAACAATCACTAGGAACCGATACTGATGAAGCACTGCGAGATCCGAAGACGTCCTGTACTGCCTTGTGATGAAATTCAGCGTGGCGCTTGCAGTCATGATGGCTCTGCTGTCTCACTTGCTTGTTTGTTTCTTGAGACAGTCTCTCACTATACAGCCCAGGGGAACCCAGGCTAGCCTCGAACACTGCAACCCTCCTACCTCAGCCTCCTGCATGCTAGGGTTACAGGTAAGCACCACCACACCTGGCTGGACACAGCACGTGAGAGACAGGAGGGACTGGCTCCTCGTGCACGGTGGCACCGTCCTCTCACGTGTGCCCTTACATGGTTTTGCTTCCACCTAAAATCAGCTCATGTGGCCCTTAAAGCCTGCCTAGAGTAGTATCACAGACTACAAGCCCCAGGAAAGCTAGCAATTAGAAAAACTTCAGCGTCAGACTAAAGTCATTAGAAACTACTGAATAGTCCAACGCTAGCTTGAATGAATAGAACAAGCCCAGAAAGTCTTCTCCTTTTCCTTTTCCTGCTGACGCAGCGTCACCCAGCGACTAGCTCCAGTCATGAGCGAACCCCGACCGAGCGGCTGTCGGGCTCCTCCAGGCGCTGTGCTGGGCCCTGGGGATGGTGCAATGGGCAGAGCAGAATCCGGAGGCCAAGGACCAGGGTTTGACAGCAATCTCAAGACACACAAAGAATGCAGCATGGTGCACTGGCACCTATAGAGAGGTGCGTGCAGAGCAGTGGGAACGAGGACAAGGGCGTCTCGCCTGGCAAGGAATGCCGGGAAATAGCACGTCCGAGACCTACAGAACACACTTCCCTTACATCTCTCTGTCAGGTCAAAAACTTGGGGAAGGGTATTCTAGGCAGGAGGAACAGCACAAAGGTAAGGATCAAGAAATAACCAGAGACAAGTCAGTATTATAAAGAGTAAAATGAGCTGGGTATGGTGGCACATGCCCGTATAGCCAGCACTGAGGAGGCTGAGGCAGGAGGATCTCCATGAGTTCGAGGCTGGCCTGGACCAAAATTTGTCTCAAAAAAAAAAAAAAGAGTGAAGAGTAAAATGTAAGTTAGGAAGGGGCAAGAGGTGAGCTGCACAGGTAGTAGGCGTCTACGTGGTATGTGAAGTGGATTCACTCTGTAAGGCAGGGTTTATCTGGGATCCATGGAGGATGGGGGCTCAGGGAACCCACGAACGCCGCAGACTGTGGAGCACGAGGTTGCAATATTGGAGAATCTTGAATTTTGAGTGCTGAGGACACGAGGATCTACGTCTCCGAAAGGTAACTGGCAGCATGGGTGACGCAGCCTGAGGGCGGCCACAGGGTGGGGAGGCTTTCCGGGGCATCTGAGCTAAGGAACAAGCCTGCCCTGAAAGGCTGGCGCTCGGGACAAAGCGGACGTCAGGTGAAGATATCTGGAAACGCAGCACAAGGCGCGTCTCCTCAGCAGCGAGACCAGCTCTCAGGATGTGAGAGAAGAGAGACACTGTCTGCGCTGACCAAGGCAGGCACACACCACGGCGGGCAGAGACATTGCAAGCTGCCAGGCACGAAAGCCTCATGGTAAGAGACTCTCTTCTGTCCTGCCTACACCTTCTTACCGCAACTGTGCCAACTCCAGAGTCCATCCCGCCTCTCAGGAGTGACGCCCAAGAAATCAAACTGCAACACCCACTGCAGAGTGCCTCTTTACCTGTGCCTCAAACTCTGTATGCCCCCAAAACACAGGCTACTCCTCACGGGTGGCTTATGCCAAGCAGTCCCAGGAATTCTCCAGACAACCCTATCCAGCCCCCCTGGCCTAGTCGGGCTCCAGGCCAGACCTGGCCAGGCTCTTTTGGCTGTTCCATGTTGCCCTAAATAGCCTTCTAGAGCAGCTGCCTGACGTGTTAGTGGCAAGACGAAGGATAAGATTACCGGCACCACACAGGAGGTGTTCTGGCCGCAGCGGAGGGCTCTGCAGGACATCTATCAACACACAGCTCGGAGTCTCCAGTTACAGCACAAGGGGAAGAGGTCAGGGGCAGAAGTGCTGGGGCAGGGGTCTCTGACACGATGGGGAAAAATCACTTCGTACAACTTCTGAAAACCTCATTCTAGGAGGTTTCTACCAGAGCTTTAACATTTTAAAATTACGAGTAAGCGTTTGTTAGAAAGGAATGACACTTTCTAACAGACATGCACCTGTAAAGTACAAACTCTGGAACAGTGATCCAGAGACGTGAAAGAATCTCTGGCCTGTCAACAGGACATACACGCATTTGGAACGATGGCCGTCTGGAGACGCAGGACTAGGGCGACTCCCCGGGGACCTTATGGGGCAGGACACACTGATAATGTCACACTAAACACGGCCCAGTTCGGGGGCTGGCCCTTTGCTGGGCAGGAAAGGGAATTAGAACATAGTATTGAAATCACCCAGCATCTCCGAATTCTTGGCTTTCTAGCTCAGGCTGATGCCTGGCCACTGGCACATCTCAAGAGATTAGTTTTCTTGAGTTCGGGAAATGACGGAGGGGCGCTTTCTGTGGGCTTCGTGGAGCTCAGGCTCACCTTCTCAGTGACCCACGGCACTGCCACAGAACGGATTTCCGGGCTTTCTCCCCAGGAGAATGTAGGCCATCAAACTCCGGGAGCCCACTCCCGCAGGGGAGCAGGCCCTTCAGCGGGACCACTCCACCTGCTGTGGGCGCTCGGTCTCGTCTCATGGCCTCCCTAGAGCTTCCCTTTCTACCTGCCTCAGTCCTGCTGACAGTGCCTGAGATGTCGCAGGGGTCACAGGGGAGCTGCACAGGCCTGGGCTCAGCTGGTTCCTGCAGAAATCAGCTTTTCATAGAGCCCCTGCCTCCATGCAAGGTGACCTTGCCCTAGGGCAGCCAGGCAGCCCAGAGAGCCAGGGTCTCACTGCTTAGGGTCGGAAGCTGGGAGGGCTCTGTCGCGCTCTGGCAACCAAGCTAACCCTAGGCCTCTGCTGTTGTTTGCTTTGTTTCTTTCCTCCATCTTTCGCGCTCCACAGAGCCCTCTGCCTTCATCTGTCCTGCAGGTATTTCAGCCGGCTCCACCCCAACTGGATGAGTCAGCCCACAGAGCACTTTTCTGAGGCCCGGCGTCATCATGCACAAGTAAGTGTGTGTTGAGGGTCTCCGCACTGGCATGGGGCTCTTCAGCAGAGAAGACAGAGTGGCAGAAGCCAGGCCAGGACCTGCTCCAGCCCCGCCGGCTGTACGCTGCTGTGCTGGTCACCGCCTAGATTCAAGCCTCTCTGCCCTCCCCTAGTTTCTTCATTCTAAAATTCTCGGAGTTGTAACACAAATCCCCGTTATTACGAACCAAATGCTCGTTCACATATATAAAGTCTGGTCCTACTAATATATAGTAAGAAACAGCATAAGAGCAAAGACTCTTTCCACTAACGCTTCTGTAGCACCCATCAGCCTGCTTGACACAGTCACTTTATTAAACTCAAGGAAACTCATTCTAGTTGGTAACAATGAATTCAGAGTGTCTACTACTCGCCAGAAGCCAGTCTTCCAAGCACAAAAGATCTGAGCAATGGGACCAGCTGCCTGAAGGCTGCCCTGTGAAGTGCGGGTGATCCAGTCAGGTCTGTCGCTTCACCACATACGTGGATTCCACCCGACCGGCACGTGCGTGCTTGCTGTTATTTATGTGCTGCAAGAATCCCGGCGACGCGCAGCGTCTCTCCCCACTGAACGCTAAGTTCTTGGAGGAAACCCGTATCTTCACTACAAAGAAGGTGCTTGGTGCCAAGTCAAGGAAGGTGGGGGACAGTGGCCCAGAAGGGGGGACACGAGCTGAAGCCTCTCTCTTCCTTCCATCCCTTAACCCATGTCCTGGCAACCCTTTCAAAGGGACTCTGGTCCTCTTCAACATATTACAGTTTAGAGCATTCAAGAAAATCAAAGCAAAAAAGATGCTTTTTTAAAAGAAAATCAACACCCACCCCCACTTCATTCTTCTCACATATCTGGCTTTCACGACTCCGAAGCTGCTTTGGCTTCAGCCAGACAAGGCTGTGTTCTGCTTCTGCACCCCTAACGCATTTGTATTCACTGCCTGTCACGGTCCCTGTTTTTCAAGGGGTTAGTGAATAGAAAGGAAGGAAAATCTAGGGAAACCAGAGCACTGCCCAACTCTGGGCAGTGCAGGAATTCTCCAGAACCACAGTTAAGACCCAAAGCTCTAGCTGGGCTCACCAAATGCCAGCTCTGGGTCTCCTCCCTTTCCATTTTCCAGGTTCTTGAAGGAAACTACCTATCTATTGCCTTCTCAACAATTTTATTTCTTTAGTTTCTTTCCAATATTGCTTGAGAAAACACTACTCTTCTAGGTATCAGAGGTCCAAAATGGCCCCAAATCTTCATAGAAACTTGGACACAGGTCTTATGAAGATGTGGGCAAATAAAAGTAGAATAAATAAAACTTTGAACACCAATCGGAGGATTTTGTCCTAACAGAATCTTAGGAAAGCCTTGGATTCCAGAGTGAACCTGTGGGGGTCTAGTCCTAGCTGCGGCCCACGAGAGTCGAAAGGCTCCAGAAAGTGCAAGCCGTGTCTCTGCCCCCTCCTCCTTACCTTGGGCATCTCCCCCCGAGGTCAGCACAGCGATGGCTTTGCCAATCCCCAGGGTTTTGGCTGCATGATGCTCTTCATGGGTCATGATCCACTCTAGAAATTAAAACAACGGTCAGTTAAGAAGCAGCTAGTTCAAAGAGCAACCTGCCCAAGAAGTGCGGTGAGCCTGGCTCAAGCCTCAGGGCAGACTCTCCCTATGCAGCAGGGCAGAGCTATGAAGCCTCAGGGCTCTGGACTTCCTCCAATGTGAAGCCACACCTTCCCAGAGCCACAAGCTGAAATGTCACAGTAACTGAGCCCCAGCCCGCAGAAGTCCTGGCTAACCTATGCCTGCTCCCTCCCAACAACTGCAACCTATCTGGAGATTAAGCTAAGACCAGAGAGAAGGGCAGCTGACTGAACAGAAATGAGGAGAGCTGCGGGAGCCCAGGACACCTTCCCTGTAGGAAGGAGGGTATTCCTGGGGGAAACAGCACCAGCAATGCAGAAGTAGAGGGCAAGAGGTGGGCTGGTAATGGCTTAGAGCTGGGCCTGTGGAGCCAGGTGACCGGGCAGGGCTGAGGGACAAGAAACTGACGCTGGAGCTGGAAGCCGGGGCAGATCAATGGCGCTGTTCTTAGGACAGTTAGGGCACTTCTGTGGCTCTTCCTATCCCAGGCGACCTCTTGATCTCATCTTTAGGCCTTGCCCTTCACACCACATATTACCAATGGTTACAGTACCACAAAACCACTGCCACATACACACAATATGCTCACAAGTAGTGAAACACCCTCCTGTATCTGCTTTTAGGGATTCCACCCTTCCAAGGACACACAAGGCACACTTCTACGTCCAAGAAATGCCACCAGTGTCATCGCTCTTCCATTTAGTCAGCCTATTATTGGCAGGGGAGACAACTCAGTGGCACAAGGCCTGCCTGGCAAGCATGAGGTCCTGAGTTCGATTCCTAGTACCAATAAAATAAAATAAATAAAACCTATTATTTAAAATGAATGTCCTGCTTCCCCTCAGAACCAAGAGTCACCAAATCCTGTATCCTCCCTCAGCTTCCTTCCACAACCTGTCACTTTCTGTCCTCACTGACTCTCCCTGGCCGCTCGCTACAGCAGCTCCTATGTCTCTCCTCTGCTGAAGACACAAAGCTTCACAAGAAGCTCACAAGTGCTGGCTTTAGCAGAGGTGGGAGTCGCATATAGGAACGAGAGCTTTCAGGGTAGTTCCCATTTCTGTGCTGCTTCTGGGGACAGGAGGACAGCTGCTGACAGAGACAGGCCAGAGACACACAGACCCCGATACCAACACAAGGCATGCAGGGAGACACATCAAGATAGACAGGCATGAATGCGCACAGTCCTATTATGCAGCTAGAGGTGCAGTCAGAGGCAGGTTTAGGTCCGTAATTCCAGGTACATGGGAGGCTGAGGCAAGAGGATTACAGTTTGAGGCCAGGGCCAGCGAGATAGCTCAGCAGACTAAAGTGCCTGCTTAGGCAAGTTTAGGCAAGCACAGGGATCGGGACCACGGTGATCCTCAGCACACATGCAGCACCCAGGGCAGGCTGAGCCGGCCACAAAACCAAACAAAACAGCAACAGCAGCAAAAAAAAAAAAAAAAAAAAAAGGAGTTTGAGGCCAGCCTGGGCAATCGAGCAAAACCTTATCTCAGAATAATTTTTATGAAGGGCTGAGGGTATACCTCAGTGTTAAGAGTATTTGTTTAACACGTGTGAGGCCCTGGTGCCAACCTTCAGCACTGCAAGTAAATAAAAAAGCCACACGAGAGAGGGCTCATAAAGTACTCTAGCGGTAGAGAGCTTTCCTGACAACCGCAAGGCTGATCCCAAACATGGTTAAGGAATACAGAAAGGGGAGAGCGAGAGGGAGAGCTGGGAAGAAGAACAGGAAAGGAGAGGAGAGAGGGAAGGAGAGGAGGGGCAGGGAAGGGACACAACTGCTGATGGAGCCACACGCAGTCAGCAGTGACAGGTCGGTCACGTTTGCACTCCTGGGGTTGCATCTCAAGCTTCGGCCTTCCCCAGGGGTCCTCTGCCCAACCCTTGCTGAAGAGCACAGCAGTCATCTCCATGTCTGTGCTGGCCACGCTGCATCCTTGCCCAGGACACCCTGCTCCACCAAAGGCCAGTCCCAGTCCCAGCCTTACTGCCCTTTGAACTCTTACTGATCAACAAAGGTGCAGAGGGGTTCTTGTGGGCATCTACACAACAGCCCATAACTGGATCGCCCAGTTAGCATGCAGACAGTACTACACTGGGATTTTAATTGCTTCTTCTGCTCTAAAAAGTGTCTTGGACTAGACCAAGAATCAGTAAACTGTAGCCCATATGCCACAATCAGTCATTCTCGTGGTTTTTTGTTTTGCTTTTGTCTTTTTGAGACAGGGTCTTGCTATGCAGTTCAGTCTAATTTTGTAGCTCAGGCTGGCCTCAAACATGCAATGACCTTTTTGCCTGACTCCCGAGCACTGGGATTAAAGTTATGAACCACCACACCCAGCAAGTCTCATGTTTTTGTATGGCAACAAATTATGAAAGGCTTTTACAGTTTTTAAATGGTTGTGAGCTGAGTGTGGTGGTGCACACCTATTATCCCAGTACTTAGGAGGCCAAGGCCTAAGATCTTCTGAAGTTCAAGGCCAGCGCAGGCTACACAGTGAGCTCAAGGCCAGCCTGAACTGCAGAGACTCTGCCTCACCGTAACAAGCAAAAATGATCATACAAACTATCTCTCGACTGTGAAAAATACACAAAATTCAAATTTTAGTGTTTCTAGGTGTGGTGGCACGAGGCTGTAGTCACAGCTACTCTTCTGAGCCAGGGTCTTGCTATCCAAGGCAGGCTGCCCTTGAACTCCACATGATCTTCCTGCACCACCTCTGAGTGCTGGGGTCTTGGTGCGCACCACCACACCGAGCCTTAAGACCCAGAGGAAACGATCAACGACCACGTCACCCCATTCCCTCACATGGTAACTGCAGTAGGGTCCGTAAGGCAGCACAGACCCACAAGTCTGCAAAGCCCAAAATACCTATTATCAGATCTTTTCCGCAAAAAAAGCTCGCGGGGACCACTGGGCTAGATGACTGGCTGCTAACGTCACATTTTCAGACTAGACTGAAAACCCTTCAGGGCAGGGATCACAGCCTACCAAAGCCTGAGGAAGTCAGCACACGTAACAGGAGCTCAACAAATACTCTCTGAAACCAGTAATGAATGGATGCACACTACAGACACATAAATATATAAAATTTGAAATGGGTCTGGATACAGATACACCTCCATGGCCTCTTTTTCCTAAAACATATGAGGACATAACCAGGGTTCAGAGCCCTCACAATCGCACCTCGTGAGAACACAAATACACACGCGCAGAAACCACTCTCACGCAACTAGAGGGTTAGCATCCAAAGTCCTGTCGTTCTTGAAAAAGACTCAGTGACTGGAGAGAACAGAAGCCCAAGCGCTTGGAAAGGAAAGCAGCAGAAATTGGCCCATCAGCGTGCAGATGGATCGATCCATCTCTCCTGGCTGCTGTTTCTCATCCCTCCTGCAGCGCATCCCGGGGACGGCAGATCCCTCGCAGGCCCATAACAACAGTCTCCCACCCCCGGGGCTGCGGTGGGGAGAGAAAGCCCCCAACACTCGC